TATGGGTTACCATCTGTCACTCAGTCTATGCAAACCAATCATTTGTACATATGTAACGACAGAAGGCAAGAGTCAGGCAACAGATCATTTATTAAGGAAATCAACGCATATTTATATATGTTTTCATGTACGTTACTATGGTTACGTAAACAAACAAACACAGTCTTCTGATTGGTTGTTTCTCACGTAAAGTTAATCTTTCATCTATTTGTGACTGTTTCTTGAATGTCAGATCATCTATATGTTAACTGCATCCGCCTACGCAAAGTCTGCTGTGGTCGGTTTTGAATCAATCTTTGTTCACACTTTCTCACGACAAATCTTGGGAACGTAAACATTGACGTGAATTACTGTCTACCAATTTGGCTAGTAGACAGCTCTCACCACACATAGAGTCACTCGTAGTCCGAATAACCTAGAGGTAAAACATTTCTTCTTATAAATTGAACACAGTCAGTATCTAACATCAAAAATAGAGTTCCTATGATCAACATTTCAGTATTTTTGAAATAAGTAACTTCGAGTCTTTATGTAAGTACAGGTAATTCTTACATAGGAACTTAAAATTCACTAAGCTAAATGGAAATATTCAGAAATAAATATAAATTGTTTGAACGAAATGCATGAAACAAAAATTGTGGTTATTAAGTTACTTAACTGGATAGTAAGACGTACTGCAGATTTCAAGGAGCTGATGTGCAGGAAATCCAATTCAACCTGATTAGCTTGATTAATCGACTGTTAGACGTTTTTATGAATGATAATAGTTCACATTTCTGGAGGAAGATTGGCCTTTTTTTCAAGTTCGTAAATACACCCAACTGCTTTAAATATGATCTTGAAAATTGTACAGGGCTTATTCAAAAGGTTTCATGGACATATTGCTCAATGGATCCTTGTTACAGTCTTAAAAATCTTACAGCATTGCTTAATTTTTAGTGGTTGTTCTGCTGACATCAAATTCATGTTAAAACGACTCCATTTATCTAATTTCTCTTCATATATTTCACTTACCTGAGACAACTCTGGATCGACAACTTGACATTCATGTAATGGTTGACTACTGAAGACGAAAATAAAATTTGAGGCTTGCGAATTGTTAACATGGAAAGTTTCAAGGAAATTAAATCTTACTGGTAAGCTATGATGACATCGGACTTTGGACATTGCTACCCTACAAAAATGAAAAACTACCTCAATAATACCGCTAGGCAGCCATGTCGTCCAAGTGATCCTCAGGTACAAAGTAAATGCCGTGTAACAAAAGTATTTAACCGAAATAAACCTATGAAATACTTGAAATCAAACAGAATATCCAAAAGGTAATAATCCGTCACAAAATACCAACATTCCAAACCCAATTATAAAAATAAAAAAAAAAAAATTACCATCAACGCAGAGCTGTCAGGTATCCCAAGTTTTCTTAGAAAAGCACACTTTTTGATACCAACGAAAAGGGAAAACAAGAATTCTCAAGAAAATAACTATCGAAATAATTTTATTCAAAAATGTGGCCGAAACGTACTTCATATCTGCATTCCCCAGTGAGTGATGATGTTCCCACCGAGGCTCGAACCCAGTGCCCATAGTTTCAAACGCCAAAGCGTTATCCACTAGACCACTTGGGCCACGAGAGCCACCTCTTGTGCAACGAGTCATATTAATTATTTAATTCAATTTTAGATTTTCTCGTCGACTGATTGGACCGAAGTGCTCTGTCTCAGGTTGACGTGTCGGCTTCTTGTGCAGATGCTTCGACGATTTCTGGGCATGTAATTAGAATTTAATTGGTGGATGATGACTAGCAGTGGAATCCAGGATGCGCATTTCGTCCTATTTGGGATTCGTTAGCTGGGTGTGCCTGCATTCCTCAGTGAGTGATGATGTTCCCACAGAGGCCCGAACCCAGTGCCCAGAGTTTCAAGCAGGTACATCCAGATGACGAGTCCAAAGTAGGACGAAATGCGCATCCCGGATTCCACTGGTAGTCACCATCCACCAATTAGATTCACAGTGTGTTTATAAAATAAAGTGTTGCAATTTGATGCAAAATGATGCAATATATGCTGGTCAACCTCTAAATGAATCGAGGTCAGAAGAGATGAACGCCTCAGAGCCTCTTTTCGACCACTGAAAAATTTAATCAAGGTAGAAAAGCTTGAAAAATCGTCGGCCATGGGTTCACACATTGTAGAATCAGGTCACAAGATTGATTTTGATAATATTAAAATCATTCAGGAAAATTTCAAAAATCACGGAGGATGTCTCATAACAGAAGCAGTTTATATTCAATGGAATACAAATTGTCTGGATAAGTATGACGGATTGAGACAGAATTTGACTTGGATCCAACAACCACACCCCCTTATGAAATGAGAAAAACAGAAATGTAATAAACACTTTCATTGTCTAATTCAGGTCATATGAACTTCCTTTCTGAAGGGTGTGCTGTTGGTGACATTTAATAGTGATACGCAAGATTTGGCTGACAGCATTTATTCAAGTACACAGAAATATAATCACAAAAGATTTCAATTGTCCTGACTAAGGAGACACTAGTGAATAAAGAGCTTACATTAAAAGAATACATATTTTTGTTTTGAATGTTAATATTATCAAGGTAATTAATCACCTCAAATGTTCTGATTAATCACGTCTTCTTATTGTTTTTTCAGGACTTATAAAGGGAAGTAATTATTTGATAAAGAACAAGATTCACATAACAGGCTGTAAAATTTCTGTTTTCTCTCTTTCTTTCAGTTACATGCAGTATAAAATGAATTCGGAATTAATAAGAAGTATAATTACTAACATGCTACTGAGACATAGCAGAATAAGCATGTATTACAATTACAGAAGTGAATAGAAAGGGGTGGAATTAGGTGAAGAAATCTAGAAACCATATTGATGAACCTAAATTTTCATAATCCAATGCAAAGAAAGATTTCAGCGTTACAACAGAAAACGTGAAATACGTATAATCGCGGAGTTGATTGTAACAGCGCACAAGACAACAAAAAAAACTAAGGTATTTGAAGATAGACAAAAAGATATGGAGGAAAGATTATTTTAAGATGCTGGTATCTATATCAGTAAAGTGTGCGGGTGTTTCAATGGTAGAATGCTCTCCAATCACGTGGTTGGGGGTCCGAGTTCGATTCCTGCCCGACTCACTCCTACGCCTTACCCAGCCTGTAGTAAGTCTGGAAAAGATGGAAGGTTACATGTGAGACTAGTAAACCGACCTTGTAAAAACAACACAATCGCTACTGAAGCTTCAAAAATTAAAGCCCAAAATCCCACTGGGAACTCAAGGGATGAAAAAATATAGCCGTAAAAATCGTCACACGGAAAGTTACTCAGATTTAGTGAACCATGTATGCGGTAAGATTTAGCTCCAACTATTTTATCCTATTTTGGAGTTTCAAGACTGACACACATGCAGGTCTTAGGTATTCAAATACTACTTACTATCGGGTAGCTTAAACAAAGTACTGCATATAAACGGTGCTGAAGTGTAATCTTCTTTGAACCACTTCCATTTTTATACATGTTAGTATTTGTAATTGTGCTCGGTGGTATAGCGGTTAGTACGCTCGCCGACCATGCACATGGTCCGGGGTTCGATTCCCGGCCACAGACGCACACCTTTACCTCGCTGAGCCAGAAATAATGCTGGTAAAGAGGAAAGGTTGGGCATGAGGCTAGCAACCCCATCCTGTAAAATAAACACTGCTACAGAAACTTCAAGCCACTAGCTTGAAGCCCTATGTTCCAGTGGGGAACGTGAAGGAAAAAAAAGTATTTGTAATTAATTACTACTTTCATGATGATGCGTTGAGTACAAGAATTACGTAAATTTGCTCTGGGTATATATATATATACTTTACAATACAGGTTAATACTTGTGTGCAATATATGTCGTTACTATCAGCTTACATGTGCTCAGAATGACCATTATTACAATAGAGAACATTTGCAGTTCAGAATCAAATAAGCACTTACCAAGTCTGATGACGCAAGCTACATGACAAAACTTCAATGTTAAGAAAGATGAAAGCGAACAACTCACCTTTAATATATCACTGAAAGGTCCACCATTCCAGCTCATTCACATAACTTTATAACAGCTTTCAAATGAATGACTGAAAAGTGCTCACCGTTAGATTGATGACGAATTTTATTACACACTGTATGCAAGTTACAGAATATACATGCATTGAACTATTTTTAGTCCGGAAAATAAAGTGTTATCACTGTTTTCAATATTCTGATTCAGTTGAAACTTTTGTAGCTGAACTCATTTACACTTCATAGACTTAAAAAGAAAAGCAGTAATTACTTTAATCAGCTACTGAGTTAGATGTTATGCTGCTATTGACATTAAGCACAGAGTACTGTAATAATAGATAGTCAATAGTAGTGTGCTAAATCACAGAAGATTTTCAAAAATTTCATTTACGTAACCGATGTACAAAAGCTGATACTTATAGTTTGTATATTATTAATGGAAGTGATTCACACATTATTATTATTATCTTTACCTGACAGCTATCTAACATTTCGACAACTCATATCCTTTACAACAATCACTGATATGATAAAATCATAATTTATGGTTTATAAACTGACGACGAGTAATCACCTTGCTCTCACATATTCACACGTACGTGTGTGAATACACGCATACACCTGCATACCCGTGTATACAATACATAAAAAGAAACGCACATACACAAGAGTGTGATTTAACAGTGAAATACGCTTAGTCGATTTAAACTCGATACATTATGAATACTACAATTAAGAGATTACTGTTAATAGTAGTGCTGATAGTGATATTAATAATAACAAATTGTGACTATAATACTAACCAATTAAATTTATTTCAAATTGTCCAACATTTCTTATATAAACGTCCACTTCACATTTAAATAATTTATTAAACTCTTTTATTAAACCAATTTATCACTTTTCAATACTTATCCAGACAATAAAAAATGTCAAATGAACAAAATAATCATAGTGTCAGTGATAATGTAGAGGATTGTTCAAAGGAAGTGAAGGTGAATGAGGTAAATCAATGTTCAATGACTGCATTTTTTTAAAATTCTTACTGTTTATTAGGATCAACAAAATGTAGCTAAAACCGATATCCAGTCAGAAGAAACTGAAATCAAACATGATAGTAAAGATGAGTCAGTAAAAGTGGAAGAGAATCACGTAAATCGGTTCATTTTATTTATTTGTTTTTACTTATTGCTAATAACAGAATGACTCAAGTGATAAAACCGAAGCTAATGAAAATGGAGAAGAAAAAGAAGCAAGCGAGAAGGCAACTTCTGATGAAAACGATAACTCACAAAATACTTCAACCCATGAAACTAATGATAAAACTGAAGAACAAGCCGAAGTATCTGAGGTTAGTAGAACATTTCTTCTTCATTTGTTAACTGTTTATTTTTAAATATTAAATTCATTTCATTTCGTTTAAAAATCAGTTAAAACACTGACAACAGCCATGTGACCTTAACTAGTATGATTCCCTTAATCTGGAGATTTCGATGAATAATCATTCCCGTTAATCTTCAGGAACATGTAGAATGGTTTTAGGACTTTTAAAATTAAATATATTTAAAGATTCGATCTGAACAGCCTATAGATATTCTTTTAGTGTTCAAATTCTATGAGTAAAGTTTCCATGGTGAAACGACTTCATTTGATATGGCACTCGTTAACACAGTATTACTGCAGTGTACTGTGCTTTACAGGATTCTTTCACGGTATCTAAGTCCTCTTCTTGAATTTGCTTTAGTGTGAATTGATCTTTATGATGAATAAACTTCATAGTCATCTTCGGAAAAACTATATGCAGACGCTTACAACAATTCAGTGATATGATAAGCTATTGAAATATTTTAAAGAGTGTAAACCCTTCAGTGAATAATTTGTAGCATTCTGGAAATCGCTTAATTTCCTATAGGCTCTGATATTTAAACGTGGTGTCTAAAAGACTATTGATAAAATATCAAAGCTCAGATAACATTAAATAATTTCCACACTCCATATGAGGTGCAAGAATTCTCTTTTATTTCAAAGTGCAACCTCCTGTTATTCTTTGATTTTTAACAGTTTTTGTTTAGAAAATGCCTTTTTACTATCATCATCAAGTTCTATGTTTAAATTGGCGGTGATTTTTGTTTTACTTATTGTGCTAAAATTATTAATCTGAATATTATTTGTGACTAAGATGAATTTATATTGAATGAGTGTGAAAGAACTAGATGGAAGCATTCTGCCTATAAGAATATAAAGTTGTTAAAAGTGTTTTCTTCACGTAGAAGTAGTTACCATCAACTGAGAAAGGACTTGGCCACTATTAGTTCAATCAATCACGTACCATCTTCAGCTTTATCATATTAGGCTAGTCTAATAAACTAGTGCCAAAATATATGAGGCTGTTGAAACCTAATTAGACCACATTACTTACATCATGTTTATAAAACTTTCCTGACCAGAAGACTTCAATCACACATCTCTGTAGTGGATACATTCAGTATTCTTGTATTTATTTTGGTGAAATAAGGATAGACAGTCAGATGCATACAACATTTAACAATCTACTTTTGTAGTTTTCTGTCATTATTACTTCACAAATAATCATTTCTTAAATATTCAATACTTTCACAGATTAAGTGAAACTAATTTGCAAGGTAAGGTATACAAATGTCGGTATAGCTGCACTGTATATTTATATAATGGCTGAGTCGGAAGTTTATTAGCTAGATATTCGCTATGTAGTCCAAATGATTCCCAGAATCACACTTATCACTTATAAACACAAAGATAGATACTATAACTGTAGACACAAAAAATAAACTTAACTATGTTCTCGAATTTGTATGCATAAACTGATATCTGTTAGAACAATAAGAAAATATTAGCATAAGTTTTCGTATACTTGAACAGTACAACACAACCTTAAACGGGATATTAAATTGTACTTTATATATTGTCCAAACCAAGTCCGCTTTTAACAGTTTGAAAAAATTTGGACATTGGGTATATGCTATTCATTATTATAAAAGTTTTTTTGTATTTCCCAATGAATGAAAAACAAAACGATATTGTCGCTTTTACTAACGTTTCGCTATTTAATGCTAGTAGCTTTATCGAAGTATTATTAAACCAGAATTTACAAAATCTCAGCTTATATATAACAAATTTAATCGTCGTTCATCAGTATGGGGTAATTTTGCGTTGTCAAGTTGGCCAGTTGGTAAAGATAACAAAACCAGGTGTAGATTGTTGGACTTGATAAGTGTATAAAATTATAAAAGCAGCGTGTGTTCACACAATGAAATTCTTTTTCACATTCGTGTTGATTTTGTCATTTCATGAGGGAAGGGGTGTTGTAACCAGGTGAAATTCTGTTTTAGTCCATCAGACAATTTAGATTCCATTTGGTATGAAGTGCTTCTGATATTAGACGTTCTTTGTGATTTCTGAAATTTTTCTGGATTATTTCAATATTGTTAAAATTACCTTTGTGACCTGATTCTATAGCGCTTGTAGACCCATGGCTGGTGATTTTTCAAGCTTTTATAGTTCAGATGGATTTCTTAGTCGTCGAACAAATGCTCTACAGTGTTCATTTCTTCTGATTTTGATTTCTCGAGATGTTTGTCCGACGTATATCGCATCACATTTCAAGCACTTTATTTTATAGACACAATTAGATAGAGAATCCTTTTGTGAACAAGGTTGTTTCACAGTGTGTCTGGTGTTTTGAAAAAAACTCTGATGTCGAGCTTATTGAGTACTCTTCTGATATCGTCTGACATCTCCGCTCTATATGGAATGACAGCTGTTGAGGCCCATGTCTTCGGAATACGTTTTCGACCATACTTAATGTCAGTGTTGATTTTGTTGGTGAAGTTCTTTGGGTAGTTATTTTGCTTGAGAGTCTCAGTAATTTTTGATATTTCTTCGTTTTCCTTCTCATCCGTTAACATCAAAGAGTGTGCTAGTCTAAGAAGACTTGAAACAACTGATACCTTTGCGCTGATGGGGTGTGATGACCTAAATTCTAAATACTTGTTGGAATGGGCTTTCTTCCTGAATATGGCTTATAATAAAATATCTGTCTTCCCTCTTCTTAACTAGGTAATCTAGAAATGGTAATTCACCGATATCTGATTCTGCTTCCGAAGTAAACTTAATCCTTTATAATAACTTTTATAATAATAAACTGTGCTTTTATATATATTTACAAATAATTAATAAAATTAGGCTAAGATAATTCAGGTTTATTATTTTAACAAGTGATTTGAAGTAATCGCCTTTAGTCTATTAAAAAGCATGTAATCGTTCACCTTAAGGATTGTTAGTGTTAGTTATTGACTTCTCCAGTGAGTTAAAGCATCTTAACATAAATTTACCTTGTGACTTTATCTATCCTACTCATGACATTTTTATTAATCTCTTCATGTAGTTATAAAGAAAAATGCAGACTACCAGTTTCAATGATTGAATTACATGAAATCATAAAATTCTGAACTTTTTTTGAATACATAGTAGTGTTGTAATAGTGACAATTAAGCATTATGAGCATATATATATATGTATATGTTTTGCCTTTGTCAGTGAATAAGAGTCGTAGAGTTGAAGATGATATACTGTTAGTCTAATTGACTACTGTTGTTAACAACTACCTCTTCTAAAAGCTAAAAGCTATTCAGCAAAATACTGGTCAACAGGTTTACTTTGACAATGTCTTTTCTGTTTTGTCTTACAGGGTTCATCAAGTGAAAAAGAAAAGGATCATAAAGTAAGCACAATTATTTCTTGAAGTTAGTTTCTGTTTAAAACGTGTACTATGATAATAATGCAAAAATTTTTTTCTATCCTTTCTTACAAATTTATTCCTTTAAATTTTAACAGAAAAAAGTTAATATAGTTAAATGGTTCAAGAAAAATGTCTCCATTCATCTACAAAAGGTAAGTTATATGCTAACCTTTTTGCATTATTCCTTGAAAGTTTATTCAGCTCTACAAGTTTTCAAGCTGTTAGCTTTACACATCCTTTGTGAATGTTTAGGGGGGAACTAAACTTAGTGTATAGCGATGTAGAAGGTGTTTAGCTAAAAGTACTATATTCTTCTCACTCACCCTAGCCATCATCATTCATTGTTTCAGTTAAAGATGGTCCTATAGAATCCTTTACAAATAGCTATCTCCTGTTAGCAGTAATCCGCCAGGATCATAGTCTTAGTACAGAAGCTTAAATTGACATCGTTTTTCTGGGCACCGAATGTCATCTGTCAATTACTTTTTCAGGTGGCCTCTAGCATTTGCATACATAATGACTTTTCAACAAGTGATACCCGATAGAAAACCACTGAAAAGTGCAGAGCACTAAGCTGTAGTTTGATTTAAGTCCGTTGCAGAGTTTCAGTTGCACTTACCGATAAAAGAGTTTTAACTCTTGGACATCAGTGAATGAGGCGACCCCATTACCATTCAGTCATTGAAATGGGTTAGGATGATTGTTAATTTTAAGCCTATGTTGGTTTGCGTAACTTTACGACTGAAGTCAATTATTACGAAACTTGAAACTTAGAATTCCTAGACATTGATATTTTGAAAATGGTTAATTAGTACTTAGCCTTATTCTTTACTTAAGTTTTTCCTCATTGGACATAAGATATAATTAAGCGTTTTGATACTTCAGTTGTTATCCCAGTTCAATGATTCTGTTGATAGTTGTAATTTATGTGTTGCATTCACTTTCTTATTTTATTATAATTGACAGAAACATTCATTAAAGAAAGAGAAGGCACCCGCAGAAGACAAGGTGAGCAACTAATTATGATTGTATGCCATGTTTAGATACACACACACATACACTAACACTTTTTCGCAAATTCATTAATTAATTTTCCCACAATTAATTTATACCTTAGACTGAAGATGTCAACCCGGATGAAGAACATTCATCAGCATCATCTGACAAACAAACTGATTCAAAGGAGTGTGAAGAAGACAAAGCAACAGAAAATACTGACAAGGTAACGAATGGAAGTACAGAAAATTCAAGTAAGTAAAAATAAGAATGACTTTAGTCATTTAAGATGAAAATTTAAAAAAAATTGACGTCTTAATTTTACTTTTGATAGTTAGGCATATGAGATTTATGATTTGCTGCTTTACGTTTTAGTGGTCTAAAAAATCTCAGACATTTATTTGGAGAAATTCTACAGTCAAGCTTTTTGAAGTCATCATCACTTATTCGCACTAGTTTTATGCAACAAATCTATCCTAACTATTTATAATCTTCATTGTTCAGACTGACCTGCTCATAACAGATAAAACTGATTCATTTTGAATGAATTATTCAGAGGCGGTAGAGGGAGGTCATTTCAATTTACACAAATCTTACTTTCCAACTCAGTATACTTGTACTTCTTCCCATCAGAAACAGAAACACTAAAATAGCCTAAAACAGGAAATATGTTTTAGGATCATTGTCAGCAAGCTAAAGAATTTTCCTACCTAAAGTTCATGCACCAATATTTCATTGTGCAACAACAGGGTATAAAATGGTGTTTTTAGCTAAACAAAGTCAACTGAACTAAATAGATTAGCACTAAACGCCGTCGGTGGCATAGCGGTTAGGACGCTCGCCGACCATGTACATGGTCCGGGGTTTGATCCCCGGCCACAGACGCACTCCTTTACCTCGCTAAGCCAGAAATAAAGCTGGTAAAGGGGAAAGGTTGAGCATGAGGCTAGCAACCTCATCCTGTAAAAATAAACACTGCTACAGAAACTTCAAGCCTCTAGCTTGAAGCCCTATGTTCCACTGGGAACGTGAAGGAATAAAAAAGACGCCAAATATCATTTATCTGAGGGGATATTCGTTTTACAGAATTATTCACTGTTATTGTAATAACAAAATGATTATTACTATCTGTGAATTAAAGTTTATCTTTATTCAGGAACACTGAATTAACTTCTGATGTTAATAACAGTTAAATGACTGTTTCATCAGTCCACTGTCAGCTAGACACTGAATTCAACATGATGCTGAGAAAAATTGATATCCTTGTGTATTTGTAAAGTTGATAATGGAAGATACAATTTCATAAGATTTTATAGGTTAAATAACATTTAAATAATTCTCTTAATTCTTGAATGTAATTTCTTTTCTAGATGAAACAACTGAATCATCAAAACCCACAGTTCATATGACATCTGAAAATTCACAATCTCATCCACTGTCTGAAAACAGTACACAGTAATAATTTAAACTAATAATTTTTCTTTGTCATTATCTACGCATCATTATCCTTATTTTCCCTACCTAAATATTCATACATTTTAAACCTGTAATATTTTTGTCATTTTACCTGTGTTCACATTTTGTGTACCTGTTTCCTCCTTTTTTCTGAAATTTTGATAATATACACATGAAAACACACCTTTTTTACATATATAGAAACTGTTTGTTTGATAGTTTTTTGTTTTTTTGATTTCATACGTTTATCGGTTAGCGGAATACAATTTTTTTTATTCCTTCACGTTCTCAGTGGAACATAGGGATTCAGGATGGGGTTGCTAGCCTCATGCCCAACCTTTCCTCTTCACCAGCATTATTTCTGGCTTAGCGAGGTAAAGGAGTGCGTCTGTGGCCGGGGATCGAACCCCGGACCATGTGCATGGTCGGCGAGCGTCTTAACCGCTATGCCACCGACGCACAATACAATGGGTTGGGGTTAATGAACTATGCATAGTTTCATTGCATAACTTAGTTTCTCTACAGATAACTTATTAGATCAGCCATGATTCTTGTCATTACCATAGTGGATAGCTTACTTACTAAGAGAAAGATAAAATGTTTACACTATGAACAAAATTCTCAGCATAATTTACTGCGTTATATTTTCGTTCAGGATTTTCACGTAAAATGGTAATCTATAGTACATCACGTGACGCAGTGTCGTACTACCTGTAGCATAAATCAATTCCTGACAGTATTTTTCCTTCACCTCTCACAAATGCACAGTGATAGGCTGAAAATGGCCGATCAAAAATATGCGTGACTATGCTTTGCAATCCAAGGACATAAGTGAATTGTAAAAACAATAAGAAATAAAGGAAACCTAATGGATTGCGTTTGATGGAAATTCAAGTAGCCCAGTGAGTGGTTCAAACGGACTGACAACTAGTATAAAATCGCTACTTGAAGTGTAACGACAGAAGACAAGGGCCAGACAACAGATCGTTTATTGAGAAAATCAAGAGATATTTATAGATTTTTATGTACATTATTATTAGCGTTATTGTTAGCAGAGAAGCAACGTCTTCTGATTGGTTGTTTTCTTGCTGAAGGTTATTCTGTTATCTCTTCGTGGCCGTTCCTTAGAAAGTTAAGCCATATATCTGCGAGTCGTATTTGCACATGTTAAGTCTGCTGTGATTGGTTGGTGAGTTCCTCAACGTTAGGCTTTGTTCCTGTTTTTTCTCATGACCCCGATTTGGGAGGTAAACACTGACATTAACTGTTGTCGACAATTTGGCTTGCAAACAGAAGTAATGGGCTTCTTATTTTCACCAGATGCTTTTGAATAAGATGATTAAAAATATTCTTATTATGTGAAAATAACAAGAAATGAACATGACATGTTGAAGAACAACTAGCCTGATTAATAATATCATCAAATAAGGAACTGGCAAAGCTTTGTTTTGGTCGAACGGTAAAACAGATATACATGAAGAGAATTCACATACATTATTTATAAGAAAAGTAGTCTTAAACCCTCCTAGTTTTTGTGTAACTGCATAATAAGCAGGAGTTAATTTCATTTGCATAAAGGATAAACACTTGTGGACAAGCCAACTAACTATATGAAAAACCTCTTGGAGATATGTGAATGAAATACAAGAATGTCACTGAAATGCTTCAAGCCTTTCTATTGGCCGCGAAAAAGACTATAGTATCCTCCAATAAAGTTGTGAAATATATCAGTAATTGATGTGTATATTTGTAGTCCACTTGCCCCGTGCTAAACGCGTCAAAGTGAACCAAATATTAGACAACTTTTTCACTTGTTTGCAGATTTGAGAATAACTGCTATACACAGAGTGATTCTTATCCAAATCTTTTATCTTCCTCATTTACATTCTCACTAATTTTGATAAATTGTAATGGAGAGGTCGGGAAAGAAAATTCAGTGACGACAAGTTGCGAAATTGTTTTTATTTTCCTCCAGAAACTGAAGAATCAGATAAAAGATATATGATTTACTTAGTAGTATAAATCGTTTCAACGTTTCCAGCGTAAAATTGGATGACGTAATACGTAAATTTCTGGAAATTTGACACTATTTAGTATTCCTTGCTGACTAGATCGTAACCTGAAAACTCAGACTTAAGTTTAACATCCTAAACTTTTATTTACTCAATTGTTAATATCTCTAAATAACTTCCTACTCAGGAAAGAAGAAACAAGCAGAACCATTTTTACTTCATATTGGTTTAGCGTATATTTTGTATACAAATAAGCAGATTAGTCCATCAAACACTGTATAACTGTTTGTTCTGTTTCCCCATATTAATCAGTCAAGGATTTCAGGATTTCATCATGAACTGACATTGGTTAGAGAACCACTGGAAAACCTGGGAGTACTGGACAGCTGTTTCGTCAGCCTAGCTTGGCACTCTTCATCAGTACGCACCCACCGCGAGGTTTCGAACCCAGGACCTTCTGGTTTCAAGGCTAGCGAGCTCGTAGACCATTAAGCCACTGGGACCCGATCCAATCGTCCATGAATTCTAACTTCTGCCAATTCATGATATGGTGCGACCATTAGCAAATGTCATCCGTGGCGAGTATTTGTCGTCACACCCGACCTACTTTACTCCACTGGTCATGACTTCCCACTAGAACCCGTGTTGAATTTATAGAAACACTGACACGCATTGGTGACACGAAATGAACTACCAGTGACAAGCCAACACGTTTTAAATTCTTCATGTTACACTGACTTATGAATCAGTTATATGACAACGTAAAAACGCATTTAAAAATGCATCAGTTCAAGCTGCCTCGTTTCAAAAAATCACACAAAAATAGATATAAATGTAATGAAACTACAATGAAAGAAGATGTTCAGGGGTAAAATAATGCACTAACGGTTGGTGAACATTTTCGGAACTTAGAAGCCTTTTCAGTCAATGGAGCTTCCCAACCTCATAGATTAACTTTCCTATCTTGGATATTTCTCTATTCCCAAGCTAATTATCACTTATTATGTCCTGCTACATAACATAAGCGACCGGTTGAACTCATGTATGGTCAAAAACCTTTAATTTTTTCAAATCTTCTACTTTTTATTGGCCACACCTCACAGTCTTAAAATAGGACAGAACGTATTGTTGCGCAGTATGATAGCTGGATATCACACCTGCAACAAAGATGATGCAAGTAGAGAAATACGTTTTATATACATACTGAGATTAAGTCCGTAGCAAATCCGTTAGGAAAGATGTAATTCCACGAATAAGTGAATTGGTCAACATGTTCATCCGGTTCTATTTCTGTCCTTAAAGTAGGAGTCATCTTACGTTTAATAGGAGTGGATTTTATGCCAAACACACTCAGATTTCTGTTGAAGACTTTCAGAAAACTGTGTTTCATTTGTGCGTTTACCTAAAACTGATAATATCGTCCACACACTGTGGATGAACGAGACCTTCTCTTGTTAGCTAATCAGTCTCAGAGACATAAAATTCAACCAGGGTCATATCTACAAGTACATCTATAATGAAATTAAATAAGAAATAATGACAGTGGATATCTCTGAGGGACGCTGATGGTTGTCATTACTTCAGATAACAAATCTCCAGAAGCTCTTACTTAATTGTGTGAATTCGGATAGAGTACCTTGATTAGCTTAGTATATTTTTGTAGCATTCCCTTCATAATCGAGCACTTTCATAATGCCTCTGAACCAATAGGGTTGATGGCTGTTGTATTATAGAGAATACAAGTGTGATCAGTCCAACCTCGTCATACCATCAAGTCCTACTGCTCTAGTTCATTTTAGATAAAAGAAATCTCTAATAACCTTGAATACACTTGGAGGACTGACGTCTACATCCCATTCAGGTTAAATTTAAATGATAATAAACAGCAGTGCAGCTGCAAAACAGTTGAATTTCTCCTCAAAGTGTTCTTCATGACGTCTCAGTCGTCGATAAACTTAGATACGATGCCAGGCTTTCTCAGGATGAGTACTTTTGTCACACTTACACGTGTTAAAGTAATGTTGTGACTGTTCGGAATGCTCATATGTACTTGTTGCACTGCAAACAGACTGGTTGTCTGATCAACAGAGCTTTCTCCTTAAATTTTGTTATATCTAGTGAAGGCAGTTCTTCTTTATGGCTTTATTGATGATCTGCTTCGTTGACTTTTTTCTCGATTAGTTGGTAATTGACTGTTTTTCTTTCTCAGAAGACTGTATACTGGGTCTACTCTGACATGTTTGTTGATGACAGTTTCTTTTGATATGATTATGAGCAATAATTTGTGCTCGAAACGTCATCAGTTAATATTACTGCACAACACTGTGTAATTTATCGAAATAAAATCTTATCCATAATGGAGTTACACTATACCACAGTGCACCAGTTTTATACTTATAGGTGTTTGGTTGTTTGGCTGGTTTCAAAGTTCTAGTTATTGTTATCACACGGTGGGCTGAAATCATTTAGAGAAGTATTTAAAGTGTAGCGGAACTGACCAAGTGTTTCACCATGATTTAAGACCATTCAGATGAAGTGGTAATTATAATCTAATACTGGATTGTATATTCTATATCCTATTAGATTGAGTTGTAAATTAAAAGAAGAGAAAATATGTGGGAACTGTGCACCGAATAGTTAGATAAACTGAAAATGGCAAGCCACTAGCTTGAAGCCCTTTGTTCCACTGGGGAACGTGAAGGAAAAAAAAAACATCTAAATAAACATTCAAACAGATAAATGGTTAACACCAGTTTCATATTAATTCACTTTACATAATATGTGGTTCATCCGTTATAAATAGAACTGGTGTTTTTGACAATGACAGCAACAACAACAACAACAAGAGAATAATTCTTGTACATGAGTCATCTGAGGTCATCATAGATAAAATGAGATCGTTAAAACAGAGATTAACATGAAGTACACATTTGTTATGCAATGAGCATGTTAAACAGTGTCTCATTTCGTTGGTCAGTGACTGTAATTAGCG